ACACCCACGGCTGGGGGTGACCCCGGCGGGGGGGGGCTCCGCTGGGCGGGGGGCGATGCAGATGTGTCCCCCCCCCCCCCCCCGCCCCGGCCCAGCAGCGTGTGCTGCCGAAGGGGCCGCTGGGTTTTCCGCAAAGCTCTTGGCAAAACAGGAAGGCGGATTATTGTGAGCAAATAGCTCCGGGGATTAGATGGGGGGGGGGGGGGTGGCCCCCCCCTTCGGCTCCCCCCTTATTACCGCCCCGTCCCCCGGTGCTCCCTGCGGCCTCACAGCCGGGCAGGGAACTGCTCCGAGCCGGGGGGACACGGTGGGACATGAGCACATCCCCCCACTCTTTCATGGGCATCGCGGTGGCCCCCGGGGCAGGCGTGGGGAGTGGGGGGCCTGCCTGGCCGGGGAGGGGGGACCACAAGGGAAAGGGGGTCCCGATGCTGCGGACACGGCTGAGATGAAGCCCACCCTGTGAACAGGGTTGTCCCCCCGCCCAAGTGCAGACCGAGCTGGGGGATCAGGGCCCCCCATCGCAGGGGTGCAGATGGGCTGGGGGGGGTGCTCAGAGGTGCGGATGGGCTTGGGAGGGTGCTGAGCGGTACAGATGGGCTGGGGGGCTCGGGGTGGGGGCCCCCCGGGCTGCAGATGGGCTAGGAGGGACCCCTGGGTTGCAGATGAGCCGGGGCGGGGAGGGGGGGGGTCCTGGGCAGTGCAGATGGGGCGGGAGGGGGGATCCGTCCGCAGAAGCCGATTAACGGCCTGGGGACGGGAAAGGGACGGGGGGGGGGACACACACCGGGCGCGGCAGCACGTGCCGCCCCCCCCACCATGTCGCAGTTTTCCTCCGCAGCGGAGCTGCACTGAGAGGGAGGGGCGGCGGAGGGGGGAGGGCGGGGATGGCCGTGCCCCCCCCCCTCCCTCCGCGGCCAACGCAGTAAGGGGGGGGGGTGAGGACCGCAGGAAGGTCAGATCCCCCCCCGGTACCCCCCATCTCCCGTACCTGGAGCCCT